GGCTAAGGTTGCCCTGGAGGGCTCGGAGGTTGACTTGGCACTCACCGGCTATAGGATCGACGTGAACGAGAGATTGTCAGCACCCACAAGAATAACCTTCAATGAGGCTAGGCGGGCTGTGAGGGAGAAGCTGTACCGTGCTTGGGTACGAGACGGCATTATTTTTGTCAAGCATCAGCCTTCTTCCGCGCCCGTGCGAGTGCGCGACCGCGAGCATCTTATGGAGGTTCTCTCCGGTGTACTGCGCTCAACTGCGGGGACCCCCTCGTGCTCGTCGCAAATGAATAATCGGCCCTCTCTTGCTGGAACTTCTCCTGGGGTGACTGTGTCCGGTGCCGAAGCTCTTCACCGCTCAGGCCGACCTCGAACCCTGCCTTCAATCGCCGGTTCCACGGATAGGCACGCCGTAGTCGTGTCGGGGGCGCGAGGAATAAACAGCGGTGTTGCCTCGGGGCGGCTGCCCTTTTCGAGAGACTGACGCCCGTCGTCTCTGCCTTCGGAGCCTCCGGGTTCGCTGCGTATCTGCCAGTCCCTCTTTCGCCACTTCCCTGAATTTAGCGACTTCTTCACCAATAGTGCGTATGATATTGTGGCCATGTCGGAAACATGGCTTAAGCCACACATACCTGACAGTTTTGTGAACTTATTAGGTCATCGGCTAATCAGACACGACAGGAAGAGAAAAGGCGGAGGAGGTATTGGCTTTTATGTGCTGTGGGTTTGGTACTACTATTCTGGCCTCATCGCCAAATTTATATTGCTCGCGGCCTGAATATTTGCTTCTGCGCGTGGCGGCGGCGAACTGCCGACCTTTCTTGATAGTAATAGTGTACCGCCCACCGAAAATTGGTTATCTCGCTGTATTCTGGGCTGACTTTGAGAATCTCCTACCTTCCTTCTCGATGGCTCTAATTGTAGGAGATTTTAACATCGACCTCAATTGCACATCTTACGATGTCGATGCCCTGCACGACCGTTGTGCAAGCAACAATTTGTTTATTGTTCCGTATTCAAATACCCATTACTCTGCATCCTCTCACACGCGCGTTGACCACTGCCTCATAAGTGATAGCTCTTTACTAAAATCCTTCTCCCAGACTCCTCTTCCCTTCCTCTCCATGCACGATCTCATTGAGGTCACCTTGGACTTCCTCGTCCATCGACTTCCTCCCCGTTTAATAACCATTCGGGACTACTCTCGCTTCAATCTCGATTTCTTCCGCAACTCGCTGGCCTCCCTTAACTGGTCTGTTTTTAACCAGCTGATAATGCTGGACGAGAAGGTTGCTACGCTCACATGTTATCTCCTTGAGACAATTGGACACATGCTCCTTCTAAGGCACTCAAGGTGAGGAGGCGACCTGCACCTTAGCTGAATCAAAATATCAAATCTCAAATGCACCAACGCAACGCGCTGAGACGCAAGCTTCGTCGATATCCTACTCCTGCCGAGTTCGAGGCTTTTCGCAAGCTTCGCAATGAGGTTGCTCGGCGTGTTGATGCTGCCAGGAGTGGGTATCTTCTCCAACGACTTGGCTCCATTGCCAGTCCCTCGCGACTCTGGTCAGAGCTTCGCCTCCTGGGACTTGCAAAGGCTAAGTCTCTTGATCTCCCGCTAGACTTCTCACTCAATGAGATAAATATGTTTTTTACTACCTCGCACCTTCCGTCTTCTCCCTCGACCACCTCCTGCTCCTCGCAACTTCCAGTCTTGTCCTCCAATCCTATGCATCTACCGTCGACGTCCCCTAATATGTTTCCTCTTCCTGTTCCATTCTTCACTCTTCTCCTACTGATGCCCTCGTCTCTCCTTCTAGTATTGCTTCCCCTATTTCCTTCTCTTCATATGACTCGACTACCTCTTTCTTTCTTCATATTACTCCTGATGCTCTCAAAAAAGCTCTTACTAGATGTTTGTCTTGTTCCGCTGGCCCGGATGGACTCAGCTGCCGCCTCCTCAGGGACAGCCTTCCTATTACTTTTCCAGTGATCCACTTAACCTCTTCAACTCGTCATTCAACCTATCAGCCTTTCCTTCTGCTTGGAAAAGCTCTTATGTCATTGTTCTGACTAAATTTAATGAAATCTCAGTGCGCTAATTATTTTCAAATCATCATAGCATTCTCAGAAGCCTAAATACTATTGTTAAATTCTTGTGCTCAGTATCTAGTTAATTTCAACGATTATTTCCGTCGACAGCTATTATGTTCAAAACACGCTTATTCTCGGTACCGACGCGGTCAAAATTCGAGACAGGAGCTACCGATCAGTTGTTTACTTCGCGTCACATATGTATACATTCGCAACCTTTCCTTTGTTCTCGCGAAGCGAAGGATATCTCTCGATACCGGTGTGTACCTATCGCTTAACGACCAAGTTCAGTCGTTCTCGAATAAAGCTCAGAAGCACATCTCACTTATACCGATCTCAGTCTCTACGCTTTCTAACACTTTCTGATTCTTCGTGATTGTTCGTGTATAATTCCAACATCAACGGCGGACCTGATTTTCCGGTACCACTTTCCTTTTGCAATACTCACAACATTGCTGGTCCTTCGAACTGGATACTCGGAGTTCGCGAATTTCGTTATCAGAGGTGTTAGTACATCGGTGCCTGCTGAGCCGCTCTCGCTCTAACGCGATTCTCTCGCTCTAATACGATTCACTCGCGCTCAGTCACATAAGACAAACTCTATTCGCGGTGCTCGCTACGGTACTCTTAACGTTCGCGCGTGCAGGTGAGATTTGCCACGTGGACAATTAAGGCAGTGAAATGTTG